TGTTGTATTTCAGTTGCTAGCATATTTCTAGTCGCAGTGTGAAACCACTTGCTTGTGGCCCAGGGACAGCGAAGGCACACCAATTCCTGTGGGAGCACCTTCCGTTGTGGACATCCATTTCTGATCCACTGGTAGAATGGGGAACTAGGATTCAAGATTACAGATCTCTTAGTACTCACTTCCTTTTTACTTGTTTAATATAAAAAAGGACATGCAGATCATAGGCAGAGGAAAATAATACCCTCCCTCACACAATGCATAATTAGTTTATGGAATTCACTGCTGCAAGACATTGTGATGGCCACTAACTTAGATGAGTTGAAGCAAATGTTAGACCTTTTTTCCATGTATATATCAATGTCAATTATCTTCCATAATGACCAGTGAAACCTCAATAGAGGGAGGTGATATACCCACGAAGACCAAGTGCCAGGAGCAAACTGTGAACTCTCCTCCATGCATGCCCCATTTCTAAGCTTTGCAGAAACCTGGTTGACCCCTGATGGAAATAGAATGCTTTACTAGGAGGCTCCTTAATTTAATCTAGCCATTTTGAGTGTTAGATATAAGAATGCATGCACAGGTATAGCACTGGGGCTGAGGGGTGGGGACTTCAGGTTTTTTTATATTAAAGGTATTTTAGAGTACAATTGTATGGATGCTTAGACAGAAAAATGTCCTACAGCTCCCAAGCATGGCTGGCTAGTGCAGGCTGAGAGAGGGATATAAATTGGGCCCTTAATCAGATTGTACATCTTTTTGATGTTTCTTCATTGAACTCTCTATTAGATTTTTGCTTTTAAAGTGCAATGGGGCTTGAATTTCACCTTTGCACTGTATAATTTATTTACAGAGAATAGAACCTGGGTCACTTCCTTGGATTACGTCAAGTCAGAACAGACCTTTTGCCGCTCATTTTAAGTGCTCTACCTTTCCGTTGACTGAAATGTGGCTTTGAGTTAAAAGTAAATATCCTGTTTAATTAGTAGAGAAAGGAGAGAAGATGAAAGCTTCCAAATGAAAACTAAAGTCCTTATCTTCTGTTAGAGTTCTCCTCTTTGAATTAACCTGTTCTGATCTACAGTTTGCTTATTTTGGTTATCCCAGAGTTAAAGGAGTTCTGCTAATTGTAAAGCTGGAGACAGATACATTTTTCTTGTCTTTGGTCAAACAAACCTTCTAAAAGACAAAAAAGGGTACAAAAACCTGCCAAACCTGTCTTACCAAGGGTTAAATGGGATAAGTATACATATTTGAAGCAGCATTTCTCTCCTTCAAACTGCCTTTAACTCTCTGGGAAAGTAGCAACCTTATCCTTTGCCTCTAGTCATCAGCTGGACTTTCTCTTTCTTCTTTCCTGTACCCTAAATCCTCACTTTTATGAAATGTTTTGGGGGGGGGGAGTGAGTAAGAGCAAGACATCGGCCAGGTTCAGGCATAATGAGTGGCACATTTGGTTTCTGTGTAGCATGGAGAGAAACAAAGGTCTTTTCTCCAGTTTCTGTGACTCACCATGACTTATTCAATTATTCTAACCCAGAAACAAGGTTTCCATGTAGCTATCATGGACTCCTGTGGAAGGAGTAGCTACTCCTGGAGGAGATGTGCCTGGCCATAGCCTCCACTGCTGGCCTAGCAACTGATGCATCAACTCCAGTCATGCTCCAAACAGCTCTCAGAGTCCGCAGCACATGGCTGCAAACTAACTATGCCTGTAGGTGTGTAGGCACATGGCTGTGCAGGTAGCAAACGGGCAGTGCCAGGTGTAGTAAACAGCTGGATGCATGCTAGCATGGGGTGGGCAGCTGTGGGGGGTCGGGGATAGTATGTGGGCATAGCTGTACGACAGCCACGTTCACACACCAGCAGAAGAGATCCCTAGATTTATTTATTTGTTTTTACTTATTTGTTTATTCATATCCTGCCTTTTTCCTACAAAGGGCTCAAGGCAGCTTACATCTCCTCCTCCATCTTATCCCCACAACAACAACCCTGTGAGGTAGGTTGGGCTGAGAGTCTGTGACTGGCCCAAAGCCACCCAGTTGGCTCCATGGCTGAGCGGGGACTAGAACCCAGATCGTCTGAGTCCCAGTCCCATGCTCTTCACCACTACACCACACTTATTAACACCTGGCATGCTTTTCTCCCCCTTTACCTGCACCTGAGTCGCTGTGATGCTGCAGAAATCAAGATGTGTTTGCAACAGGAGTGTGGTTCTTGTGAGAGGGGAGATGGCTGGAGAGGGGGTGAGGGGCAGCAGCAGATTGAGGCACTAAACCCATTCAGTTTAGTGTTACGTGTGAACATAGACATTTTCACCTAGGAGTTAGTTCTGAAGTCCTTGTTCAGAAATCCTTTTCTAGGCCACTTAGGGGTGGAAGGAAGAGTCACTCTTGCTACGCCCTCTGCTTCTAGGAAGCATGGTGGGGATTTCTGTGAGCAATAGTTGGCTGAATCCAAAGTTGCACTCCACCTTTGGCATGATTGGTGCTGGGGAACATGAGCAGGAGGGTGCTGTGGATGTGCTTATGTGTGAATTTCTCAGGTTGGCCATGGTGCAAACCAAATGCTGGGCTAGATAAGCCTTTGCTCTGATTTAGCGTAGCTTTTCTTATGTGTTTCCTGAATACTTTAAACATAGCTCTTCATGTTTGGGCACCTGCCAGGCCAAAACATTCTATGTAACTTGTAGATCAGCTTTTAAAAAAGCACCTTTCTAATGCTGCAGGACTTCTGGCGTGCTGCAAAAATAATGTTTGGTTTGGTGACGCTAGGGTAGACAAACAACAGTTGGGCATTTTATCTGCACTGTTGAATATGAGAGCCCTTTATGAGTCTGGAACCAGCTTGCATTCCTACCTTAAGGGAGATTCTACAGTAGATTTCAGTGTTCTGTTGCAAACTATGGAAATCATAACACCAGAAAATGATCTGAGAGTACTTTGTGATGACAGAGTCCTAAACAGAGGACTCATTTGACAGTCAGTTCCTTTCTTAAAGCAACAGCAGGTCCTTTGTGTGAAAGATACGGAAAAAACACTGCAAAATACTGTGGCTTTGTTTTGGAAGTTCTCAGTATTTATTTATGAAATATATGATTTTCTATAACTAAAGCAGTGTTCAAGGTGACATGCAGCAGAAGGGAAAGATGCTAAAAACAAACATTCAAACATGCTAGCTTAGCATAGTTTTGTAATATTCTAAAGCCAGAGGAAATTAAACAACTCAGTTTTGCAAAAAAATAAATAAATGCAAAAATAGTAAAAGGGGGGAAATGATATATGGGATGAATACATTCAATTAAGAATGTATGGGAGGTCATTCTGCCATAATTCAGGATTCTGGTTCAGTTGTCCTGAAGTTTCTTTTGAAGTTACTTACACATTTGATAAGCTTACAGACCTGAAGCAATTATGCATTAAGAGCATGAGAGGAATAGGTAAGTCCCTCAGGAGAGTGTACTCTGGTTAGTCTCTGTGGAGAGAACATTTGGCAATTCTGGCATCACAGCCAAGAGATGTATCCTGGGAATCTGTCCTTTGCAAAGATCAGGAACCTGTCCTGATCTTCTTGGGCTACAGTGTCAGTTGTATTGGAGGTGCTCAAATGGATCTTGAACTAAGCCCATTTTGAAGAGAGAACATTGCACATGATTGCAGGAGGCTTTCTTTAAGCGCAGCTTTATTAAGTAACTTTATTTGAGTATATAGACATTGGTAAAACACGCCACATCGCTAAGGGTATAATGAATTTGCAAAAGCCTGCGTTAATTCACATGCAATTGCCAAGAAGTCAACTTCTGTCACAACTTTTAAGTCAGCATCTTAAAACTACAAAAATTGATCATACTTTAATTAGTAAACGTTTCTTTTTTTCTGGCTAAATGCTTGTTGAGAAAGATTTGAAATCACAACTGCTGTGCAGTAGGAAGGCTTAGAGTGCAATCCTAAGGAATTGCTGCTTGATACACTGAAGGCTCAGAGGCTGGAGTCCTTTGTCTATTTTGCACCCTATTGGGTAGGAGCCGGGCAGACCAGACATGGGCAGAAGCGGGACCATACCTGGTTCCTCCTTTTCCTTTGCGTTTTCTACACGGTGACCTACTCGGTTTGACTGGCTGAATTTCCTTGTTGTGGGTGAGACAGGTGGTGGAGAAGATTTAGGATCTTGGCTACTCCTCCTCCTCCTCACCCACTGTTCTGTCCTCTTTTCCTTCTCTCTGTGTTTCTGGAGGCAGTGTTGTAACCTTGAAGAGCAGTCAGTATGCTTTCAATGGCCATCATGTAGGCATGGGATTCTTTCTTCCATGCCTGTAGGGATCCCAGGAAGGGGGATTTGTTGTAGGAACCTAAAGAATATAGGACTGCCATGCTAGGCTTTTATTGTAACTGTTCGTACCAGCATTAGCTGCATGTAATAAAGGAGAAACATTCCTTTGGGATCAACATAGTAATTTGCGATGCTGTTCAGTACAGCCAAAATTAAGACATAGGCCTGGAATCGGTTGTTCAAATGGCATGTGAAATGAAAGGGTGATATTTATTTACTATATTTATATCCCACCTTTCTCCCATTGTGGAACTCAAGGCATGTGGTTCCCTGGTGGTCTCCCCTCCAAGCTCAGGCCAACCCTGGAGCTGCTTAGCTTCAATATGGTAGATGGTGCCATCATAATATGTATGTTTTATAAAGGAGGAAACTTCTGCTTGTCTGCACACTTGTGGTGAATAAAAGAAGCTCTTGCAATTACAAAGGTGAACCATTTGCAAATTGGAAGAATTTATGTCTCTTCTTCCTCCTTCCCTCCACACTAATGTGTTAACTTGCTATCTATGGCTTGCATACAATAGTTTGGGCAGGTGAGCTACTAACCTTTGAAGGTATCTTTTCAACATGGACAAGAATACTGTTCAGAACTGTTTCTCAGACAGGCAAAGACAACCCCCAACCTTTTTCATTCATTTTTTGACAGGTGGCTTTTCCATTGTGTTTTCTTAAAGGTACGGACTCTCTTTGTCAGCGGCTTGCCTCTGGACATCAAACCCCGGGAGCTCTATCTCTTGTTCAGACCATTCAAGGTACTCTGCTTCTACTGAAATGCTGGGCGTGTATTACCAATGTGCTCATTGAGATGAGTGTCTGTAGTTCGTGTTGCTGTTATAAATGGCACATTGCCACCCTAATGTGCAATTGCATCTTCCAGAGGGGCAGAGAGAAATTTAAAAGGTGGTCTAAGTATTTGATTTTTTTTTTTTAAAGCCTATCATAATACCTTATTTCAAATAAAAACTTGGCAAGGAGAACTTTCCCATGAACCAAAAGTTGGCCACATGCCCAAGAAGGGAGTGATTATAAATAGCATAGTGGTATGATTAGAACTGCAAGTTTATAAACACTAACATCTAATAAGAATTGGGGGAGGATGCAGAAGATCTGTGAGTGAGGTGTTACATGGTCCACAATCACATGTGGATATTCCTTGCTACTTCTCCAAGTCCCTGATCTCCCAGGTGAAGTGACAGAACTGTCATTGTCTAATATTTCTGCCTACATCATCATCATCATCATTATTAGAACATTTCTATGCCGCCCCTTGCTGAAGCCTTGGTGTGCTCTGTTCTGAGGTACTGATCTTAAGAGATAAACTTCATGCCCCAAGTTTATCTCCTAGAAAGGGAAATGTCCCATCTTCATATTTGCATAGCCAGTATGAAGTCCTAGCCTATGTGTGTGAGAGATACTTCTAGGTAATATTAGGTACCACACTCAAACACATTTTTGAGGAGAAACAGTATAAAAGTTCCCCTTTCACAGTTTGACATACAAGTGCTCCTATTTTGAAAGCAATATGGGCACATATGGCATGTTCAGATTATTGTAATAGTCCGGATGTCTTGCAATATCCATGCATTGAATTTTTGATTTCTGTCATGTAAAAATCAATAATGGACCGAAGGTGGAATTTCACATGTTTCAGACATCCATTCCCAGAAGCCTCAGCCAGCATCTCCACTGATCAGGGTCCCTGGAAGTTGTTGTCTCACACATCTAGAGATCTACTTTCTGTCCACCCCAATAAAGGCTTAGCAGTCTTAATAGCCATCTGGATCTAAACATCTTTTGCAGTTTTTAGAGCCCCAAGATTTTTATCCCAGCAAAACTGCATCAAAACTGGATCAGTGCCTTTGCAGCATTAGCTGTTATTCTAATACTCTAAACTTATTTGCATATCTAGCAAACCGATCTCATAGAGTGAAGCCTGCTTTGTTCAACAGGCCTAAAAGAAATACGTTGAGAATTAAAGTGTCCTGTGTGAAGGTGAGCAATAACCAGAATATAATTGGGAAGCAGGGACAGAAGGAAGGATCCCAAGGAGAAGTGATGTTGAAAGACAAGGAAGGTTAGGCAAGCCGGAGAGAATCTAGGACCGACGCTGTTGGTGACTGGTGACTGCTGAGGCTGGTGGAGCAAACAGATAGTCACCATCCGCAGACAGAGCCAGTTTGAACCTAAGAATACTTAATGCATTGCCAACATGTAGCATTTAAGTAAACTGACATGTTTCACACAGAGACAAATAGGCAAGTCAGTTAACTATGACTGCAAGGAAGGGTTCAGGTTTGATGTGCAAGACACATAACTGCGTTCCTTGTGAGCCCATGTTTCTCTCTTCCATAGCGAGGAGAAACTGAGGCTCCTTGTGGGATGGTTTATCCTCAGAGCAACACAGAATATCAGTATTTCGAACCCACAGCAGAAAGCCATATGCAAGTGGGAACAGAGACACATTAACTTTAACATGCATGCCTGCCTGGCACATTCACTCAGCTGTTTTGGGAAGCTATGGACGCAAAGCAAAAGGCACATAAACTTTCAGATCATGCTTACAATGCAGTGTGTGTGACTGTTGGGTGGGGGCGATGATGTTGGTTATGTTAATATCCTCAGCGTTGGAGGGGATTACATGCAGTAAAATAAGCCCATTCCTTTGCGCCCAACTTTTTCTGTCCCAGGAGCATTATGTGCAACCACTGCATAGAAAAGGAAAAAGGGGGGATTGAGAGAAAACCAAGGGAAAATTAATATGTGTGTCCAAAACTGGCATTACTTAAATTCATATCAGAGTGAGGACCTGTTTTATTTTCACTCTTCCTCAGGCAGTGGTCCCCGGATCATACTCTTAAAAGGCTCCTACGCTATGGTTCCATACTGGGCCAGATCCCTTACCAGCTTTCCTTTTATTTCCATTATGATTTTACTTCAAATGGTAATCACCTGATAATCCCACTGCGTATGAAATGTACCACTGAGCATTTCCTCCAACACTGGAAATGTGTACCAGAATCTATCTTGTTCATGTGTTTACCTGGGGGCTCAGGTACCACTGAAACATTGCTTTGTATTGTATGCCCTGGACTGATAAACCTGGTGGCATTTTCTTAACTAACTGGCATATTTATTTTACTTCTGATATAGTATAGTACATCCAAGATATAGTATAGTACATCTTTCCTACCATTGCTTTTAAGTTTGTTGTTTCTGAATATATTTTTATATAGTCATATTTGTATAGGTAGTAGTGATCGTAAATTCTATCTTACCCAGAATGCATTTTTGTTTGTTTCTTCCTGCAGGGTTATGAAGGTTCTCTTATTAAACTCACATCTAAGCAGGTAAGCTGGATATGCAGTGAAACCCTTTAGAGTAAGCTTCAGCAGTTCCCGGTGTATGAGAAACAATAAAGCTGGCTTGAAGTTTTGGCCCAGAATTTCAAATACAAGCAGTCCTCTGGTGGTATTCAGTCTAGATCAGAAGGAGGCAGCCTTATGAGCTCATGGGAACATTTGGATATTTGAAAAACTGTCTTGGGAACAACTTTAAAATGGGTGGGTGAGCCAATAAGAACTAGTCCAGCGGTATTTATGGGGAATGAAGGTTCCTACTAAAGGTTTCTCTCTCAGCTTTGAAGCATGTCTGGTTGTCGTTACTGAGGGGGGAAAAGATCAGAAGGGATGGGGTGTCTCTGTGGAGCAGCAACAAAGTTATTCAGGTTCATATTGGTGCCCCCTCTGGTCTAAATTCATCTCTATCAAACTGTGGGCCAGAAAAATTGCTTGGGGTTCTGTGGAGCTCAGGAAAGATTTTCAGAAGCAAGCTGCAGTCACATTGGTCTGTCAGCTGATTGAAGGCTATGGAGAGGTCAGTTGTGCCACTGATTATGTATCTGCCTTTTAACTGATGGAATAAATGAATATGCCAATTGCCAAAGCCTGGATGTGGGATTGAGAAGTCAAAGGATGGTCATTCCAGGTCCTGGTAACATGCCCAAAATGTGTTCTCTGGATGTCTTGGAAAAGGAAATAAGTTGGCTCCATCTCCTTTGGCAAAAGTTTTGAATGGAACCTTATGCTTTGGGGAACGTAGTGTGATAGTGTGTACAGGACTTTTGTTTGGAAATTGACATTCCACTCATTAAGGAAAAGCATAATTTAAGAACGCTTTCCTTGAAAACTACATTTTGATTTAATAAAGTATTTTGAACTTAAAATAGTACTGCTAACATATCTCAGGCTAAATTTTCTAAATAATGCATCTTTTTTTTCCAAGACTTTTGCACATGGGATAGCCTTCCCTAAACCAAAGGCAGTAGGATTTGGATTTTGAAAAACAATAAACTTGGATGAGGGGAAGGTGTAAAGATGACACGAATTTACAGATGACACGAAGTCAAGAGGAATGGCCGTCACTATAGAAAAACAAATCAAGTTCCAAAAGAATCTAGACAGGCACAAACACTGGTCTGAATATAGTATGGTAAGATTCAACAGAGATCAATGTTAAAGTATTGCCTTTGGGTCTGAAATAGCAAAAACACCAGTATAGGATGGGGAAGATCTGGCTTGGCAGCAGTACATGTGAAAAAGAAATGCAGTATTTCAGTAGATCACACACTAATTGAGCCAGTGGTGCAGTGCAGCAGCTAAGAAAGCTAATGCAATCCTGAGCTGCAGCAACAGAAGCACAGTGTCTAGTCCCTAGGAAAATAGAAGGCTACATTTGTAGTCATGAGACCAGTTCTGGGCACCAAATGTTAAGAAGGACTTAAGCTGACACTCACCTAAAGGAGAGCATCCAGGACTGTGAGGGGGCTAGAAGCAAAGTCCTGGGAAGAATTGTTGAAAGAGCTGCTTATGTTTAACTTGGTGAAGACTTAAGGGTGAGATGGGTCAATGGTCTTCAAATTTTGCAAGGGCTGCCATGCAGAAGATGCAGCTGTTTTGTTTTCTGTTACTTCCAAGGGCAAGACTAGAAACAGTGGGCGGAAGTTGCCCAGAACCAGGTTTCAGCTAAACATTCTGAGAAAGTTCAGCAGTGGGATGGACTGCCTCTCGATTTGAAGGGTTTTTCTTTGGTGGAGGCATTTAAGTAGAGCCTGGGTGACCAATGGTCAAAGAAGCTGTAGCTGCACCCTGCGGTGCAGAGCCTGCATTGATCTCTAAAGCCACTTCTAATTCTGGGATCTCTCCGAGCAGATTAGCATTTTTGCCAGTTACTGGCCTCTCTTAGAAAATGCAACCTTCTCTAAATCCACTGGAAGATTAATATTTCTGATGGTATCCCATTTCAGATGTTGCTCTTGGAAGAACATGGGCTATCAGTTTGATTTTCTGTGTGTTTTACAGTCCCTGTGAGTAAGATGCATTAGGTTTAGGGCAGAGATGGGATTGGCACTTTAGTTCCTAGTGGTTTAGGTGCTATGCTATTAATGTTGCACCACATTATTTCCACTGCTTTGATGATTGTACAACATGAGTGTCAAAAGAGCATGTGGCTGCTATCTTAGTATTCTCTCCCGGGAAATAACAGATTTAATGCAGATATTGTGGAGACTTAGATCATTATTTTCAATAATCAGGTAATTAGATCATTATACTATGATTTTAACTTCTTCTGGTCCAATGATTTGACTCACTGACTGGTAATTTTCCAAAACTGTGTCAAATGACTTCTAGCTTTAAGACTATATTTAGATGAAATAGAGGTAAGTCCCCTAAAACACCCAAAGGTTGAGGTAGCCATAGGTTACCTCATAGCTTTGTAAGTACCGACCCACATTGTATAATGATAGTGCCTTTTATGCAGTATTAAACAAAGGATAAAAGCTTGCACTTTAATAAGCCATAGTTAACAGACAATATTAGAATGAACAAACTGCTTTAATGTGTTTATTGACATTGCTTTCTAATGTATTAGAAGCAGTTCAGTCTCAAAAAAATAAACAAACAAGCCTCCAGGGTCAACGCCCACTATCTAAAATGGACTGTCACCAGAGCTTTATCTGATTAATCTGTTTCGTTGGAGGATTCAAATAGATGTTGTGGTAGTATAAATTTAATTACTGAGATGTGTATATGCCTGTTCCTGAATTAGGTTGCAGTCCTCAATCACCCTCAAACATTTCCCTTATTCTCTTCTTCCAGCCTGTGGGCTTCGTTAGTTTTGACAGTCGCTCAGAAGCAGAAGCTGCTAAAAATGCTTTGAATGTAAGTACATGGAGCTGTTTGAAAAAGTATTGGATTGTGGCAGAGTGGAGCTTCAGCAGCACTGCCACTTGAGCTTAGTAATGGGAATTGTGCCTCTTTGCTTGGCCCACATCAACACCTCCTTGTGCTGCGAGAGGCAGCAGTGGCTGGGGAAACTAGAGATGGGCCTGGGCAGGTAACCTGGAAAGCGGGCAGGCACAGCTCTCGGTGGTTTCCATTGTGGAGCACAGCCCATGGGTTGCAGCCGTGAGATACAGCTGAGCAGGACAAAACCTCACCTCGGGCACTGCGTTAATAGCAAGGGAGGGAGCAATATTCTTGTCCTTAACCCTATACGAATGAATGGCTGGTGGTCACTCCCACTGGAGGTGGAGGGAGAATGCAAATATCTGCTGAGACGTACCTGGCGGCTCCTGGCAAGACCCATGCCCCTCATAGTCCCTGAGCGCTGCCCCGCTGACTCCTGACATCCCGAACACCCTCCAAAATAACCCCATGGTGCCAGCCCCTGCTAATTTGTGGAGGGAAGCTGTGCTCCCCTCTGTATGCCCTGGATTAAGTGCTTGAAAGGCAGCGCTTGGGGTGAGATGCGTGGCCCTTAGAATCCACCCGGACCAGAACACAAGTAATCAAGCGTTCTACACAAACTGGCTTCTGGAGCATCACATTCACAGCAAGTGGTGTGATAACTAATGGCAAGATAGTGGTTGTCATTACACCACCACCCCCATCATTCCATTCTGGCCCCAGCTGTCGATCCCTCCTCCTGGTACACCTGCCCTTTGACCCTCTGACTTCATCACTGGGCCCCGTAATCAGAATTTTGCAAGAAAGCACCATGTTCCTTGCAGCATGTGGCCTTGCCTTCAAACATCCTTTGTCCGTCATAATGTCAGGCATTCTCCTGTTCCTTACAATGAATGACTCAACAGGGCAGAACAGATTATTTCTTTCTGTTCCTTGACTGAGGGATAGGAATATTTCTCCCCTGCCCCTGCAGAATCTTCAGTGTCTGCTACTTTAGTTCAGGTGTTTCTGAATGCTTTTGCTTTCCTTCAGGTGGCATTCAAAGAGCAAATGTTGCCTTTTGCATTCTGCCCGAAAGACCGCCCAGATACAGTTGGGTGCATGCAAAGTTCAGCCAACTTTCGTGTACTTTAAAAAAAATGCATTGGAAAGACAGGTTCTTATGGCTGTCAATGCAAGAAGATGGATGTTTATTCAGAAATGGGCTAAACTAGTTTAAGAGAACAGAATTGTTCCATCTGTCCGACTGAATCATCTCTCCTTCTCTAGTAGGGGTGACTGAAGTATAAGAATACAGCGAATGAGTTCTGTTCGCCTATTCCTATGCAAAATACTAAATCTTTACCCGCATTTACTGGCAGGGGAATAAGCTAATGTGGGAAAGAAAAATAAGTTACTTAGTGGGACTACAAAGATGTATATACTGTGCATTCACAGAAAATCCTAAAAGTTTTCAGCACTTTACTTTGATTAGTGAAATGCCTAAAATAGGAAATGTGGAGAGAATGACAATTTTGCTTTGACTTCATGTGGCATTTTTGTCAATTCCAGCCTGTTTACTTTGCTTGGGAATCAGAGAAGTCCACATTCCTGTTTGCATAAACCCGCCCTGTCTCTAGTATTTTGGCCAGAGAGGCCAAAGGTCCACCTGTTTCCAAGGGTGGCAAGACAGATGCCTGGTCTGGGAAACTCTCTAGTACCAGAATGTGGGGTTAAAATAAAACTGCTATCGTCATCCTCACTTTGCATTTATTACGTTGTGAGGAACCCAAAGCAGCTGCCACAATGGCTGCGTCCTCCACTTGAATTTATATTCTGCCTTCTTTCCTCTTGTGAGGCACCCAAGATGGCTTCCATGTCTCCATTTTGCCTTCACAGCAGCAACCCTGTAAGGTTGAGAGGGGTGGGTGGCCCAGAGTCACCTGTTGAGCTTGGCCTAGAGGGAACTAGAATCTGGAACTCCCAGGTCTCCAGTCCAACACGCAAACCACCACACCAGCCATTGTAAGGCCCTCACACACACCTCAGTGGTGCAGTGACAGTTGTGTTCACCCAATATATGTATGGAAAGGTGTTATGAAAGTCAACCAAATTGGTCAGCTAACTGGAGTACCTTCCCCACGAGGAAGTGTTAAAGTTAGTACTAATTGGTTTAGAAAATAAGGTGCCTAAAGAGCAGCTGGGGAGTTGGACAGAAATGACAGAGACTTATCAAGCTACGCACTGTGTGGAAAAAGCAGTTCCAGAGGTTTTTCTCCCTTATAGTGCCAGGTCACTGGTCACTTGGTGGAAATGATTCAGTAGGAAATTCAGAGCAGATAAAAGGAAGTACCTCTTCACATAGTGCATAATGAGTTTGTAGAAGTTTCTGCCTCAGAAGATGGCAATGGTCCCTCGCTTAGATGGCTGCATAGTAGGACTATATCTAGCCATGCATCCTTTTTTGAATTTGTTCTACATGCACTTTTATGAAATGGGTGCAGCTTTCCAGCAGTCGTGCATAGGCTGCAATGAAAGTGGACCAAACATCCGGATTAGTCTACATTAGAATTTGGTGTCTGTATGCCACCTGTTCAAATGCTGGAAGTGTTGTTAGGTCCTCACACTGTAGGAGATGAATGTTTGGCCTTCCGATGTTACAATATCAGTCTTTTAGTTATCAGAAGGTCACTGAGAATCCATTTCCCTTTCCATTTCTTAATTTCCATGAGGCAGGTATAATGTTTAAAAGAGAATATACATCAGTGAATACTAGAACAGTTCTGGTACAAAATTTATCTGAATTTAGTAATCTTGTCCTGAAAAGGAACACTTCCTGAATGTATGTTTGAAAGAGGTATTAACTGTATAGCTCCAAAGGTAGGGTGTATGATCTGTATTAGCCCTTAGCTGAATTAGGCAGTCACTTATCAGAGAGATGTTGCAGTGTCCACTAGACGCAAAGCGAGTGTTTTGCTGAGATGCAGCCTAAGATCCATAGGTAGACACCAAGCTAGTGCCCCTTCAGGCATTCTGTAATGTTTGTCAACACAGTTTCTCGAATTCCTAAATGTGCTCACAGTTCCAAAAGGGTTTGAGACCTCTGTGCTAGATGGCCTTGGTCCATTGCTCTTATGTTGTTAAAGCAGTGCTCTTCACGCTGCACTTCAGGGGACTCTAGGCTCTTCAATGAAAATGTAATGGAGAAGCTTCTCTCACACCCCCCATTAAGTGAAAGCATCTCACTCATTTTGGACTGCACCCTCCGTTTGCGTGGAGCTATGGCAAAGCTTGGCATATGTGACTGCAGACCTTAGAGCAACTTTCCACAGTCTGGTGTCATCCTAGCTGGACAACGTAGTCTTAGCCCATCTGGAGGGAACCAGTTTGGGGAAGGCTGCCCTTCAGTGTGCCCCCAAATCTTCTGCAATGCATGGGAGTAACCCAGAAGAGGCACAGACAAATTAATCTAGAAAGGGTTCCCTAAAAGAGGCATTGTGTTGGAGCAAGTCCAGAGAACTGGTTTTCCATATATGTCTCAGTCTTGGCTTGCATGTCTATAAATCCTGGTAAATTGTATTAGACTCATATTGCGGAAAGGAGTGGAACAGTTCCAACATGATTAATGTGATCTCTTTAATTTTCTTCATATTTCTTGAGAGGAAGGTTTGCAGAACAGATTCATCCCTGATTAATCTTGCCTTTTTCTTAAGTACATGCTGTCCTGTAGATAATTTCCATTGAACATGCTATGCACAAAATTGTTTAAATAGAGTGCACTTGCTGGAATGTACTTCAGAAGCCTTTAAAAGTTACCCTGTCAGGAATGCAGCGCACAAAGTGTTAGGTGTACCAGGACGGGGGATCAGTGAATGGTGCTTGTGCGTTCATGGAGATTCTCTCAAGCAATGGGTTCGAACAATGTTTAACATTTACACTGAGCTCTGTAAGGAAGGACAAGAGCTGCTACAAAGGAGCTGGCAGTCCGCGGAGGTATTTTGCCAGAAACTACTTGTCTTTTGACTGAACATGCCACCCTGGGCTGTTGCAACACACATTTCTGGAATAAATTCCCCACTTGCACAAGTAGGTGTGGATACCTGCATCTTGCTTTCAAGATGTGTCTGTTTGGAGGTTTGCATAACCAAATAGAACCTGTGCACTGAAGAAAAGAAATGCAATGCAAAAGTAACCTGGATTTTACAATCCCTATTAAGTCTTGCAAATTAAGTAAACTTATGTGTATTCTCTGTTATACTGCATAATTCCACTCCTGCTAGGGCAAAGAATTCTGCAGGGCAAAGGAAGCCCAGGCACATTCCATGAAAAGAACAGCTGCAGAAGCCTCTTGCTTTTGAACCCATCTGTGCAACCTTAACGGTTACGAGCTTGTGCAGTCTGTTGCTCTTGCTTCTATGTATACACATGTCAAAGGGAAGGTTGAGCAATGCACACGGTGCTGACTTCCATGCATACATGAGTGCGTATGACCTGACAACCCATTGTGGGTAGCTAGCCGCAGTGCCTTGTTGCATTTTCCAAACCTGCCATGGTTTCTGCAGAGTGGCTTAGTATTCAGGAACAAGCCACCCTGTGAACACATTACAGGGGTTCTTGTACCATCTGAGCCCACCAATTGACCCCATTGTGGGTGCACGAAAGCAATGAACAAACCACTCAGTGACGAGCTGCTCAGCAAGACAGCGCCCCCCCCCCTTCTTACAGTGAGCTCACCTGGACAACCACCATTAACAGCTGCCCTAGTACCTCGGAGTGATTGCCACTGGCTTGGTCCCTCTGCTCCACTTGTAATCCTTTTCTGGTTGCCACCATAGGTTTTTCTCCTTTTTGCAGTATTTTTGAGGTCTCCTCCAGTGATAGTCCCATTGAAGCATCTGTCATTGCTACTTTGCTTCTCACATAACAGCTGTCAAATGGCAAGCTGTCAAGTGAGAGCAAAGCCCTGAAAAGTTCTTCACGTACAAAAGGTGTCA